CACAAAATAAAATTATAATTACTATATTAAAATATTACTATATAGAGTAATTAAAGAATATTAAAAGAATTACAAGAATTTTATTATTTTTAATACATTAAAATTATTGCATGAAAAAAAATGAGATAGAAAAATGAATAGAATTATTATTCTATTTTTTATCATATTTAAATTGTTATTGTTTTATTACTTTAATTTGCTTATATATATATATATATAATATTTTGTAACTATTTTATGGGAGTGTTTCTTGTCCGAAAAGCGAGTTAGATTTTTATCGAATAGCGTAAATCGACCATTCGTGATCTGGGAAAATTGAAGCGACGCGTCCTTAGAATTTCTGCCCTCGTCCTGGCTTCGTCACGCTCGAGCTAGAGACGTGTATCAATCCATCATTCGGGGAAGAGCGATAGAAGTATCCAGCAGTATCTGGGATACGTCAAAGTGGGCCTGAAGTTTCGCTCGTGCACTTCGTCTTTTAACAGAAGGAGAGGAGAGAGGACCATCCTGTGCGCGACCATATGGTCGCCGGCGGCGCAGGTCATTATTTTCTAGCAGGATCGCTCTCAAGAAGTGAGGTCCAGAGGGAAGGGAAGGGAGGACATGGAAAGGGGAGACCGGGCCCATCACGAAATTGCCCGAAAATTGCTCGGCGCGCCTCGCTTGGCTTTTCGTTTTTTGAAGGATAATTTTATGATTCGGGATTTTTAATTTGAATTTCAATACCGTGCGAGGCGAGGAGGGGAACGATTTTCTCCGTACCATGTTCCTCCCAAAACACAATGCCTGTTGCCACGATGAAAGTTTCGATTCGTTCAGATTTTAGTGTCTCTGTTTTGCTTGTTTTCATAAAAATTGATAATCAGCTTTGTTAAAGTCTTATCAATCTTATTCGAGAAAATTTTTATCAATTTTTTAATAAATTGAAGAATTAAATATGAAATAAGTTTGAAGAGTATCATAAACCATAATTTCTATACATTATGTAGAAATATATCTTTTTATGTGATATATCACATAATATAGATAAATCATAATTTTTTTCCGCTGTAACTGTACACTCTACTTTGACATGTCAACTATATGATACATCGGTAGTGCTTCGAATTTAATGCATCGTTTTTTATTGACGTATTAAAAACACGCACCGCTATTAAGATCATGCCGCCAGTCATGCGAGGAGAGCTTAAAATATCGTGACGAGGATCGTATACACGCAGGATCGTGACAGCGTTTTATAAGTGCGTTGTCGTGTACACACTTTTGTCGGTTCGCTACTTAAAAGAGCGTCTCTCGAGACTATAAGCAGCCACTTCTCTCTCCGTTCTCAAGAAATCTTAGAGAGTCCTCGGCGTGTCTCTTTTACTTCGAGAAATGCAAGAAGTTTCTTGCACGAATCTTATCCATTCCTTTCCCCTCTTGGAAATACTGTCGGGACGTATATTTTGACTTGCATATCTATTTCAAAATACGTGTGAAATCACAATCTGGAATGCAATACCGCGTTTTTAAGGCTATTAATAATCGACGTAACGTTGAATAAATATGCAAGCGTGTAGCGATAAGCGCTAATTGCTTGCTCAATGAATTGCTTGCTCCTTCGCGATCGCGAATAGCAGTTATAAATACTTATTGATACAACATCATTCAAACAGTATTGCAATAATATTTGATTGCATCAACATAGCGCTATTGATTGCTTCAATGTAGATATATCGGACACGCTACTTTCTTGCAAATAAGATTTAAGAAGTTATTTAATGCCATAATTGCAGGAAATTTAGAAGATCAAACGCTTCTTTTTTTTTCTTCTCTCGTTTTTTTTTTTTTTTTTTACCTACCATATAACTCAGCCTCTTCGTAAAATACAAGACGCTCGTTTTTTCTCTTCACGCCCTCTCGATGGAAAGAATCCCTCGACACAGCGCCGAGACGTGTATTTTTTCTTCTCTAAAGATAAATCCATCCCTCTGTCCGCGTGCCATATGTCGACTCGTTTCTGGAAAGTGTTTCCCGATCTCTCGCGTATAACAGATGGCCGCGTGGGTCGATTCTTTCTCCTACATAAGGATGAAAATCTTACGAGAGCATGATTCTCTGACAGATTTTTCCTACATGAAATATCCATAAATTGACAATTTCCATTCGTCAAGAATGTCGATCGTGAAAAATTTTTTTAGTTGAATCTTATTTTCTAGATCAGTAAATTTTAGATTTCTTTTATTCTAAAAGACGAAGTTTTTTTATAACTGTTAAATATTGTAATATTGTAAATATTTTAATAAAATAATAATTATTAGAGTGTGAATGGTAATCTAAATATGAGAAATATACATAAATATTTTGTATGTATGTGTGCATGAATGAAATAATCCGTTATTGCTGCTTGCCGCTCCAGGAGCCGTGGCGGAGATAAAAAAATTTATAGACGCATCGTAATGGTTACAAAATCGGTGAAGGACTTGACGTTGCGTTAGATAAACGTTTGCTTTAGATAGAAACATACATTTTCTCGGTTCTTTCTTGAATGAAGTAATGAGACAGATAATTAACGAGCGAGATTTAAGTAAAGATGACCAAAGTATTTTAGGTGACATATCTTTATCTAATATAGTGATTTAAGCGTATTGCAAGGTACCTGGAAAACGAGCAATAATTCAGATAACAGATTTTGTAAAGAGAGTTGTTAGTGATTTTTTGATATATAATTTCTAAGAAATTGAAAAAGAAAAGAATTTCTCTCTCTTTTTTCTTTTTTCTTTTTGAAACTATAATACATATTAATGTATTGATTCATAATTTTAAAAAATTCAAATAATTTATTAAATACTCCAAAATTTAAACAAATATAATTTAAAAAAAAATAAAATGACAAGTTGGGATTTGGGATACTCTATATATA